CCAACTGCTTAAGATTTGCCATCAAGTCAGGATAAGGACTTGTTCACTATTCCTCTATTTCAGAAAGTTAGTGACATCCAATCATTTAAGGCTTTAGGATATATTTTCAAACTTTGTTCAAAACAATTTGTTAAAATAATGGCAACTGATAAAAGTCTCTGCTGGACATAAGGATTATAGCTGCTTAAGAACCTAGGGCAATTCCAGCTACTTGGGAGGCAGAGATCGGGATGATTGTAATTTGAGGCCAGGCCTGGCAAAAAGTTATGAAGAGACCATCTCAAACAATGAGATGTGTTGGCACACAGCTGTCATCCCCGTTATGTCAGAGACAAATAGGAGGAGGATTGCCATCTAGGGTGCCCCAGCAAAAATGCAAGACCCTATTCAGAAAAAACTAAAGCAGAAAGAGCTGATGTGTGCTCAAGTGGTATAGAGCTTGCAAAGTCCTGAGCTCAAGCCCAGCACCATGGGAAAGAAAGAAAGGAAGGAAGGAAAGGATGGAGGGAGGGAGGAAGGAAGGAGGAGAGAGGGCGGAAAGGAGGGAGGGAGGAGGAAGGAAGGAAGGAATGAAGGAAGGAAGAGAGAGGGAGGGAGGAAGGAAGGAAGAAGGGAGGAAGAGAAAGAAAGAAAGAAGAAGAAAGAGAAAAGAAAAAGAGCCTATGAAAACCAGGTGCCACATCACATACCTATAATCTCAGCACCTGAGATAAGAGAATTGCAAGTTTGAGGCCAGCCTAGGTTACATGTTTGTCTCAAAAAACAAAAACAAAAACAAAGCAAAACAAAGATATGGAAAATATATTTACAATATCAGAGCAAACTTATTTTTGAATTATTTCTGAAAGCAGATGATCACATACACAAATTAAATACCAGAATTTGCTTAAAATACAATGTGTCTGATGGAGTAGCTCAAATGATAAAGTGCCTGCCTAGCAAGTATGGGGCCCTGAGTTCTAATCCCAGTGCCAAAAAAAATCCCCCAAAGCCCCTCACAGTATTATAATGTGAATTTTGTATAAAAGGAGACTATTATGGAACTCCTCAAGAAGGTGTTATTAATAAGAAGTAGATGAGCAATGGAATAAAGTCACAGAAAGCTCTTATTTATTGCAGACAAACAGAAAGTGTTTATTTGTGTGGTACTGGGGATTGAACTCAGGGTCTCTCACTAAAGTGCTCTATCACTCAAGCCATGCCCTTATTCGTTTTTACTTTTAGTTTGTTTTTCAAATAGGGTCTTGTGCTTTTGGTTTGCCTGGCCTCAGACCATGGTTCTCCTTATCTCTGCCTCCTGAGTGACTGGGATTAGAGGCATGAGCAATCACACCCAGCCCTATTATTTGCCTTAATAGCTAATGCTATGGAAAGTCTTCTGTTAACTCTTTGATTCCTTTCTGCTCATGTTCACAACTAAGAGTGTCCTGAATAACTACTTCCCCCATCAGTTATGTGCAAAGAAGGGCTATGTTATGGTATTGCTTGAGAACTAGGCTTAGCCTCTCTAGGGTAAAAGATGACTGAATATGAGTTGCAGTAAAATGTCTTCAGTTTGAATCTCAATTTGACACTTCTCTCAGCGAAGGATTACTGTGTCTCTCCCATTTGTTTCAGTCTTAAAATAACAAATTATTCTGAAGTTGGGTCGACAAGTTGCTAATCTTAAGAGAGCCAGAGTTCAGGTGCAACTACAGATGGAGGATTGGCAGGGAGGAGACCACCACCGGAATCCTCCTGCTGGAGGGGTGATCTGCTGAAAGTAACTCGAGCTTCTGTAGACAGAGAAATACCTCTTGCTTGACTTTAAGCATGCAACTTGCACCCCTATAAAACTGAAAGCTGAAAAGAATGGTTACAGCCGCTGGTGTCTCAACCTTAGAAGCAGTGACAGTAATGAGAACAGCCTGCGGGTCTAATCCCAGAAAACTCTTATTTTTCTGCATTTTGTGTGGACAGTCAAACAAGTAACACTAGGGAAGAAGGAGAGGTTTCCGCACTTTAGTCTACACACTCTGGACATCTACCGTGGTTTATTTGTAGAGCTATGTTTGTTACCACAATAACTTTAAAATGACCTTAAGGAATTCCTAGAAGATCTATGGTTTATTTTTCATAACAAATAAAAGTAAATACTTAAACCTTTCATAAGCCTACTTATAGGCCGAAAAAACAAGATACTGGTTGTATCATAGAACCGGAAATGGAGGAGATGATGGATTAAATTTTCATGGTATGGCCAAGTGATGAGAAAGCCATGCTAAAGCACTATCAATGCATTTGGTTAGAAATGATATCTTTAATTTGAATTTTATAGCTAGCATCCCAAATCAGTCTGATCTTAGATACTGCATTGTATTCTGGAAGTGAACAGATGGCTCTGTCACTATTTTATTTATTCATTTTTACTTATTTATTTTTGAGATATGATCTGGTTGACCTCAAAGTGGAGATCCTCCTGCCTCAGTCTCCTGAGTGCTGGGATTATAGGTGGGTACCACCATGTTTGACTTCTACATGATTTTTAAAAGGTTGAGAAATCATCTATGAAAATTGCAAATCCCCATGCAAAATGTATTTTGGATACTTTGCATGTCAATACTGACATTTATCTTTCATGGCCAGTTAGTTTCACACAGCTCCTATCTTTTCTAGGTGCAACAAACACAATTGATGTTCTTTGATCTAGTGAAACAAGTTAGCCCTCATAAAGTCAATTATTCCTCTCCTACTTTACAGAACTACATGCTGTCTGGAAAAGCATGCCCAGTGGAGATTTCTGTGATGGAAATGTTCTCTAGCAACACAGTCCAATATGGTAGTCACTAGCCACATGTAGTAAGGAGTTCAGTAGCTAAGGAACCAAATGTGTTAATTAGCCATATACAGTGAATTAGCACAGGTGTAGTAGACTGTTCAAACACTCTGGGAGGTGTTGGAAGTAGAACCCCATTACAGGCACTCTAAGAAGCTTTAATTTTTAATTGGCATGTATCTAAAAAATTCTGACATTCCTTCAGTATGAAGTTTCACATTTTCAAAAATTAAAATCCAAACCAACCAAATCCTTCAGGCTGCTTTTCTTTATGAATCATCTTTTTGCAAAGAGGTGTAAGACTAATTTTATTGCCAACTCTGCCCCTCTTCTACAGATAGAACTCGGTGATTGGATTCTGCATTTATTTAGGTTATTCTCCTAAGAAACCTGGTTTCCATGCTGCAAATAAAAGACAGGAACTTCTCCACCAGATTATCCCAGACAGCACACATGTTCTTTCCAAAAGTGGAGCCTGGAGCCACAGCCCCCTCACATTGCCTGTTGTATCTGTTTATGCTCATAGAAGTGACATCCACCTCCTAGACAGAGAATGTCAGTTTCTTGAGAAACACCTAAGAATATGGTGATGTTTTAAGAAAAGCAAATGGTCTCACTGTTCGAATGAAAGATGCATAGAATTCAGCAGCTACCAAGTCCTTTAGAGACTGAAAGCTTTTACTACCAGAGTATATGGATCCTGTATACAGATTTGCCTGGGCTCAAACTCAGTCATGGTTATTCTGTGGCTAATACAGCTATGAATAGGTTACAAATCCCAAAGCTCAGTTTTCCTATCTGTAAAATGGAATGATGTTTTGACGGGAAAAGTGTGTAAGACTTTGAAATGGGTAAACTGCCACTGGGGTGCTTTCGGCTGACCTTCACAGTCTCTAGAGTTTCCTGATTGTGATCCCCACATTCACTAGGCAATTTCACTACTCAATAAATTGTAGAAACTTATTTACATCAGTAAATGATTCTTTAGAAATGCACATTGATTTTGTTTCTTAGAGGTATTATTCCTTGCAGCCCAGTAGACCAGATCAGTTTCCCCCCCAGCCCCCTTATCTGCTTGTTTGCCTTATTTGGCCTTCACTGGTTTCAGTTACCCTTCCCAGCAGTCAAAGAGGTTTGAAATTATCCATTGGAAGGTTCTAGAAATAATCCATGCTTTAAATAACTTTTAGTATTACATATTGTTAAATCATCTACTTTGTTATTGTTAATCTCTTACTTACAAATCACACTTTATAGTAGGTATGTATTGGAAAAACAGTACATTTAGTGTTTAGTACCATCTTCGAATTTGGGCATCCACTGCAGGTCTTGGAAAGTCTCCTCTGAAGATAAGAGGGGGCCACTGTAATCCTAAATACTACATTTCGGTGGCCTATGGAATATCAAGCAGTTCTCTTTCTTGATTTCGTGTTCTTGTCATTTGAATGGGTTGCAGTATGTCACTGGTTCCCTCCCTAATTATGGAGTCAACAGTTTTCATTTTCCATTTCTACAGGAGTCATTTAGTTTGTTCGTTTTGAGACAGGGTCTCACTGTGTAGCCAGAGTGACACTCAGTCTCCTGAGTAGTGCAGTTGTTATTCGTCATGTCCCGTAAGTTAGGCTTTTACCTCTTGACAAATTATCCTTTGAGAGTTTCTGCAGGATAGGCTTTTTGGAAGGGCTGGTTTAAAGGTCTATATAGGCAGTTAGGATGAGTTTTATATTTTCCAAGAACGCTGTAACACTTCCTGTATTTGGGGGTGGAGGGTGGAGAGAAAGTACTGAGCGTTTATAAAATAATGCAGGCCAGAGTGGATGGGCTGAAAAAGTTTCCCAGACCAGAAGAAAGTCAGAAAACTTTTTCTTTTATAAAGCCAGTGGGACCTTGAGGTCAAGGTGGCCAACAGACCAGGCACAGTGGCTTCGGTGGAGGCCACAGTAGAAGAGAACCTAGGTTTTGGCTGACCAGGGCTTCGCATGCTCTGGGGTCCCAGAGTTAACCACAGGCCATGTGGGAGCCCCAGCAACTAGTAGCCGGACCCCGGTTCCTGAACCACCACCACCAGGCCCCAGAAGATTAGGCCTTGCCCCAGGCCCAAGAGGCCCCTCGCCCACCGCCGAGGGGGTGGGGCGGCCTCGCCTGGGGCCGGTGCTTTGCGCCCTTCGTTGGCCGCCAGAGGCTCCCTCTCTCTCCCTCTCCTGGGATTTTGCTGCCGGGCTCCCTCTCTCTGCGGCCCTAGAGTTAATCCTATCAGCCGAGGTGAGGCACCTGTTACCCCGGGCCTTCCTCACCCTCGCGGCCTGTCCCCTCTTACACCCGGGCCGGCCACAGGGCCGGGCGCGGGGGGCTGCACGTGGGCCACAGCCCTTCCTCGGCTGGCACCCGCGCCCCAGGCCGGCCGCGCGTGGAGCGCAGGGGCACCCGGGCCACCGCCCGCCCGCTCGTCGGTCCGCCCGCAATGGCGATGCGGAGCGCAGCGCGCCTCCCGGAGCCGCCCGGCGCGGGCAGGGCGCGCGTGGGGCCGGGGCGCGCGTGGAGGCGGCCGCCCTCCGCGCTGCGCGGTGACGAGCGAGCGGGTGGCGGGCGCCCGGGGCCGGTGCGAGCAGCGCGGCCACCGCGGGCGGGGGGCGGCGCGGAGGGGTGGGAGGCGGCGGCCGACCCTCCCCGCCCGCGGCGCGCCCGCTCGGTAAGGGAAGGGGAGGCTGTGCGCGGGGCGAGGAGCCGGGGAGGGCGAGGCGCAGGGCCATGCCGGCATGTACAAAGGCTGACTTGCAGGCTGGGGTGGGGGTGGGCTGGGGTTGGGGAGCGATAGGTTGACGATCGGAGGCATGAGCAGTGCGATCCATTGTTTCCTGGCACATTGGGAGGAAAAAAACAAAGGGATTTATGATCATCACCCTATAATTTTCTTTCTTTCTTTTTTTTTTCTAATGGGGCCAGGGAGCTCGTCTCTCCCCGTGCCACACTGGGATCCGCCTGGCAGCCACCGGGAGCCGCAGCCAATGTGTTAGGACTTCAGGTGCTTCTTGGCACAAAGCTAGCCTGCGACCTCCTACCATAGCGCTTGGCGTCACCTGCTCTCCCGGCCCTGCCCCGGGGCCGAGGGATTGCGTCCCGAAGCAGGCTTGGGAACCCGCTGCCTCTCAAGTTGGTGTTATTTATGTTTGTCTTTGGTGAGGGCAGGTTTTTAAATCCCCGGCGGCCCCATCGCCCCCGCCCCCGCCCCCTCGGGCTCGAATTGGCGGGGGGAGGGAACGGGGTGTGCGCGCAGGGGAGAGGGAGGGTGTTTGTGGCTTTCAAAAAAAAAAAAAAGGTAAAAGGAGATTGTGATGGCTTACCAAAAAAAGAAAAAAGGAAAAAAAAAAAAAAAAAAAAAACCCAAAACCCAGGCACCACACTCTGAAGGCTTTCTTGTTTGTCTGCATGGGCCATGCATGCAAGCTGGGCCAGGAAACGAGTTTGGAGCGAATTTCAGTGCAAGTGTGTGCCTTCCGCTGGCTTTGCGTGAGGGTGATGTGGTTCGGTCTAATGTTAAAACCAAACCAAACAAAAACAAAGTGAAAAATCCTTAGAGCTGCATTGTCTGCTCTTCAGCGGATCTTGGAAATATTTGACTGCTGGCATATTGATATAAAATCCAGCTTGTGGGTTAGACTTCAGCAGGCATGCGTTGTTGCATTTTCAGCTTGTAGAAAGTTAGGGACAAGAAGGAATAAACAAATCATGGCTGTGAAAAGAGGTGGCATGGTATATTTGCTTTCTCATTGTCACGTTCTTATGCATTTATTCCCCTGAAAGTGTACATCCCACTCCATAATTAACATGCACTCTCAGGAAACTTCCAGATATTGGATGTGGAAACTTCAGAGTGAAACACTGGCCTTCAAGAACTTTTTTTCTGCTTGTTTTGCTCTGAGATTGCACCAGTGTTGCTTTGGGGATGCTGTAGATGAGAGTATTGGACCAGAAAGAGTGAAATAAACCTATGTAGGCATGTTTTGGAGTTTATAAACATAATTCCAAACTTTTACTTTGAAACAATAACTTCTACCTGATTATGGAGAATCCCAAGTGAAACTAATTTTCTGGACAGTTTGATGATTTCTTAAAGACATGAATTGGTGGTTTCTCATAAAGATAGCCAAAACTTGGACTGAAATATTACTTTCAAATGTACTTACAGTGTGTGTGTGTGTGTGTGTGTGTGTGTGTGTGTGTGGAGAGAGAGAGAGAGAGTAGAGATCTCCAGGTTGTGTTTGAAATGCTTTTGTTATCAAACACCAGTCAGAATAATAACTTTTAGCTTCTTGACTTTAACATCCCATTTCAATAGTAATTTCTTCTATTTGATGTGTGGCTCACCACTTGGAAAATAAAGTGTATATTAGTTGACTAAACAGAAATTCAAATACATGAATTTAGAAATTCATTCTTTTCTATTACAGATGACCCTCTAGTCTTGCTTTGAAAAAGCCATTTTGTGTAACTCTTGACTGTGCATAACTTCCTAATACACCTGTTGGGACAATCACTGACATGGATATGGCATTTGAGAGGTCCTTTACTTGACCAAATACTGGTGATTAGAGAAGAGAGGTCTTTTATTTTGTTTTGTTTTGTTTTCTGTTTTTCTCCTGATAATTATGAACATTGGCTCTTCGCACTTGAAGTAAAAATGTTGAAAGCAGAGTCTTCAGGTGAACGAACCACTCTCAGAAGTGCCTCTCCTCACAGGAATGCATACAGAACTGAGTTCCAGGCCCTGAAAAGTACCTTTGACAAACCTAAGTCAGATGGAGAACAAAAAACAAAAGAAGGTGAGGGCTCCCAGCAGAGCAGGGGTAGGAAATATGGCTCCAATGTCAACAGAATTAAAAATCTTTTTATGCAGATGGGTATGGAACCCAATGAGAATTCTGCAGTCATTGCCAAAACCAGGGGGAAAGGTGGACCTTCATCCCCTCAGAGAAGAATGAAGCCCAAGGAATTTCTGGAGAAAACAGATGGCTCAGTTGTTAAGTTGGAGTCCTCTGTTTCTGAACGAATTAGCAGATTTGACACGATGTACGATGGCCCTTCATATTCTAAGTTCACAGAGACTCGAAAGATGTTTGAGAGGAGTGTGCATGAGGCAGGACAAAACAACCGCTATTCCCCCAAAAAAGACAAAGGGAGTGAACTACAGGATGAGTGGGGTGCCTCTAAGTCCAGCAGAGGCAGTACTGATTCCCTGGACAGTCTTAGCCCCCGGACTGAGGCTGTTTCCCCAACTGTGAGTCAACTGAGTGCAGTATTTGAGAACACCGAGTCCCCCAGTGCCATCATTTCAGAGAAGGCTGAAAACAGTGAATACTCAGTCACTGGGCGTTATCCTCTGAATTTACCATCTGTTACTGTTACCAGTCTTGACACCTTTGGCCACCTTAAGGATTCTAATTCTTGGTCTTCTTCAAACAAACAAGGGGTTGATACAGAGGATGCTCAGAAGGGTAATACAACTCCAGTACCAGAAGTGTCTCCTAAAAGTACCTCTTTAGCTTCGTTGCCTAGTGAAGAGATACAGCAGAGCAAGGAAGCCGAGGATTCCACATCGAACCAAGAGACTCCAGACAGAATTGATAAAGACATTGCCGAAGAACCTTGTGCTGATAATAAGGCAATGCCAAAATCTGAAATCCTTTCACCACAAAATGAACCTATGGAAGCTGCTGAAACTAATTTGGTTGGAAGTGAGACAGCAGAGCAACAGAGGAAAGGACTTACAGGTGGTGATTTTACCTCTCCTGATGCTTCTGCATCCAGCTGTGGAAAAGAAGTACCTGAAGACTCAAATAATTTCGAGAGTTCCCATGTGTACATGCATAGTGACTATAATGTGTATAGGGTGAGATCCAGGTATAATTCAGACTGGGGAGAGACGGGCACTGAACAGGATGAGGAAGACGATAGTGATGAGAACAATTACTACCAGCCCGATATGGAATACTCGGAAATCGTTGGATTGCCAGAAGAAGAAGAAATCCCGGCAAATAGGAAAATTAAGTTTAGTAGTGCTCCAATTAAGGTAAGTATGCTTTCTCAGTTCATTTTTAGTATTGGAGCCTAACTGTATGCTAACTAGAAGGTTTTCTAAGGAATTCAGAATTGTTGCTATCCACCTGTTGTGAGGTGATTTTAAAAATTTGAGCTTTGAGAAGTGTCAATCATATTAGTGTCCTGTCTAGTGGCATAAACCTATATGACTGATATGAAAGTTGAAGAAGTTTGGGAATTGGGAAATACATCCCAATGGACTGGGGTATGAGTAACCAGGTGTGTTATTTTTAATTACAACTACTTTAACCAAGTGTTACTTAAAATTACCTATAAATAGTAACTTTCTGAATCTACACACTATACGACATGGCATATAAGACACACTGATAACATTGAAATGATAATTCTCTTTATTTATTTGCTTAAAAATACCTGAGTTGTTCCTTACTTAAGTGTAAGTGGGTGATGAGGAATGTGGTCAGAACTTTTCTTTCTCCTTGCATGAAATTTGATTTATGGAAATACATTAGCTGACTTAAATATTTGATTGGAAAGCCACGACTGTAAACAGCTTGGAGTTGAGAATTTGTTATGTAGCTTTGCAGTGAAATTTTGTGAAAGGAAGTAAAATTGATTTTTCATTCATGGATTTAATTTTTCCTCTTAAAAACTGGATAAATGCCAATTGAATTCATATGCTATATTGTAATGACTTCACTTAGCTAACATTTGGTGTAGAATCGGGGAACACATATCAGCCTCTGGTGGTGGGACATTATTAGCAGATAATGGTGATAGGGCAAGAGATGGTTGGTTGACTGTTAGAATCCCCTGGAGTGTTTTTCTAAGTGTATCTGCCTACCGACTCAGTCCTCACATTCTTATATGCTCTCCTTGGGAATCCTGGGGTTATCACTTTCTAGGGGCTCCCACTTTACACAGTGTGAATATATGGTAGATTTGGAAGTTCATATCATTCCTTTGTAATTGTTCTTTTAAGATTACTATCAATTGTTATTTCCATCTTCTGACTTCCATATAAAGCTCTAGGAGATATAATTTATCTAGAAATATCCACAGAGAAGTCTGACGTTGCTTTAATTATGAAATACTCTTTTGAAATAAGTCATACTCTATACAAGTGTTTACAGGTGTTAGCAGGCACAGTTTTACTTTATTAGTGTAAGGCAGAAGTTCTGGATCAGAATGGCCATGTCCGGTAAACCTGTGTTTAAAATAGAGACTGGAATCTGGGCTGAAAGTAAGTAAGCTTTGCCACCTTCCTGTATTGCTCTTCCCCTCCCGGCTCCCCCTGCCCAGTTCTAGGCACTGTCTTCAAGGGTATCCCTCCTCAGGCCCGTCCAGTGAGCTCCCAAATTTCAGTCCATGCCTCTTTGGAACAGTCTTCCCCTCAGGAAGAAAGCAGTAAGATTGAATTATTTTACACTGAGCAAAGCAGGCGTAACTGGAATGAACTCTTCAAGGAGTTTGTTAAACCCAGCAATTGAGATTTTTTTCTTTTTTTTCTATAGGGGAATTTCAGTTTATGAAAATGCATCAAGTAGAGCATTATCCACTCAACCCAATGGGTTATATTTGGGCCCTGTGCTGCACAAAACGTAACTGTACAGTCAGTATTAGGTTTAATGGATTTTAAAGTATTTATCATTGATTGAAGTGCGTCTGTTCATCTGTGAACAGACTAGCTTTGGGGACATGATATTTTGTAATACAGGTGATTGGTTTTTTTTTTTTTGCTACTATTGCTTATAACAACAAGCATGTTGCTTCTTTCATTAGCATAAATAAGCTGGATTTCATATAGCAAAGAATGAAAATAGATCACATTTAGCACATTTCATGAAGGACTTAGATCACAGTAAGATTTGCAAACAAGCTTAATGCATTGCGTTTTATTTGGCAGCTAACAGGATGAGTTGGAGTGGATTAAGTTTGCAAACAGAAGAGTTATTATCATCCCTTTTGTAATGAATAGGACAATTACTCTTTCTTGTTGCTTTCATTGTTTAACATGAAAGTGGAGTCACTGGGAAATTTTAAGAGCTGCTTTTTACTGGTGGTGGTAGTGATTTGGTTATTCTCCAATTAAGATTTTTTTATTGTCTCAAAGGATGGGTAATAATTAAATTCAACAAGTATTTAGGGACAGCTTATCATGTGTGCTCTGTCATGCTGCTTGCTGCAGAAGACACAAAAATCTATAAGGTTAGCACTGTTCTTGGGGTCTTGTAGGAGTCAATGCTTAAACACATTGTATTTAAAATAAACCCATATAATACAATGTAGAAACTATGCCAAATTGGCTAGGGTCCTGTGAGTCCTTTAACAGCTCTTGGCTGTACTGAATGTACAGAGTGAGGGAATTTAATAGATTATTTGGAAGAGAATACATTCAGCCATTCCTTATGTGTGTTTCCTCATTTTTCCTGTTATTTATGGAACAGGAAGTTAAGTTCTCCAACTTTAATCTTTTCCTTTGAAATTTAAACATACTTCCTCTTCCAGAAACATCAGGGAACATATTCTTTGCAGAAATGATTTCTGAAACTTATATTCTTTTCTTGATATTCATACTCTTTACTAGGCAGAATATTTCCAGCGTCTTACTGTTCTGTTATAAATCTTGTTTATGATCTTTCAGTGTGATATAGGAGTACTTGGTGTCAAGCTCAGTTCTTTTATAGAGGTTTTAAATGAATATTATCCTAAAGATGTCCTAATCTGAATTTAGAAAAACAGCAGAATGATAGCTGACCTTTCTTGTGTAGCATATTGCTTGTGTTTGTTAGTGACTTCAAAATGGTCCGATTGAGCCAGGCATGATACCACATACCTGTAATTCTGGTGCTAGGAAGACTGAGGCAGGAGGATTGAGAGTTCAGGCTAGCCTGGGCTACATAGGGAGACCCTGTCTCAAAAAACAAAATGACAGCAAACAAACAAACAAACTAGATCAGATGGTATCACTAGCCAGCAGCTAGTGTGACGTAACCTGTGTCATAAACACAGCTGTTCTTACTGGATAAGTTGATGTGCATAATAGTGGCATAGAACTGGATGGAATTAATAGTGGTCTACGCCCAAAATATGGGATGAGAGAAGATTGTGAGCCATGTTAATTTTATACTTTAATTCTCAGGAACTTTTCAAAACTAAGGGATTCAATTAAAGTCAGTGTCATAGATGAATCAAGGGTAGAGAGAGTGACCTTTGTTATTGTTTCTTCTCTTTCTTCAGAACACTTCTTGAGCCCCTGCTTGTGTCAGGAACAATGTGAATATAACACTTAAGACTGGAGCTGTCCCGGTAGGGGAAAGAGGTGACTTTTCAGACTCTTCTGTTCAAGTCAGCAGAAGACCTTTTTGATGTCATTGCAACCTCATTAAGGAAGCCACTCCCTTTCTCCTTTGGGTTTGTGTTCTTAAACACAAAAATCTCTGAAAAAGGAGATTTTCTTTACTCCCACCAAGGAGATTGCAGAGTCAGTGTTGTGGTGCACTGTGCTATACTTAAGAGTTTCTCAAACTGTGTGAAGGATCACAGAGCTGGAGTTCAAAGGACTTTATGTGGTAGTTGTTGAAGGTGGATCTCTGTAGTCTCTCCCCTTTGGGGGCTCAGAGCCATTGTCCGGAGTATATGAAGCCTTTTGTTCAGGATGGTGTTCAGAGCATGGTTCTTCTGAGATCCAGCTTTTTTATGTTTGTGGAGGTTTCTCTTTCTAACAGTTTTGTCAGTGCTTGTTAACCTTTAATATGCATATGAATCACCTGCGGATCTTGTTAAAACACAGAGATTCTATTTCAGTGGGTGTTTTGTGGGAAATTACCTTGATGCATTGGTTAGCCCCCAAGTATTGTACAAGGCAAGTTATCTCAGGGGTTATGGAGAAGAAGCAGTTAGCAACCAAATTAAATGCTTGAATCTGTGATTTCTCAACTCAAATCTAAAACATAAATCCAGAAGCAAGAGGAAAGCCATGGAGTAAGTTAACACATCTTAAGATAAGCTATAAAAAATAGTTGGAAGGCCTTTTCTTTCTTCCTTCCTTCCTTCCTTCTTTCGTGACAAGAGTCTTCCTGTGTGACCCAGCTGGCCTCGAACTTGTGATCCTTCTGCCTCAGCTTCCCAAGTGCTGGGATTACAGGTGTATGTATCTCTCTCTCTTTCACATCAGTTGTGCCCATTGATGGTGTGGGTTTGAGGACCAGAATTGACATTTGGGCCGAATCTCCACAGAGTAATGATGCCTGGGTCAGCAGTGTACCCTGCTCTGTTGGGACAAGAACGTCTAGAGACAGCTGTGGCTTTGCCAGTTTGCCTGCTGAGGAGCCATGGGTTTTAGTTGCTTTTCTTGGGTAGAGCATCTGTGGTTACAGAATAGGACCATTCTGAGTGTCTGTAGTGGACAAGGTGATATGGAGGTGACATAGCAATCAGTCCAGAGATGGCGTAATGATGACTTCATCTTTCCATCCCTTAAATCCCTTTTGTTCAGTTATATTTTCTGTTCTATGTTTGTAACGTCACACAAGTCACTAACTTGCCTATTTTAATGCCTCTTCTGAGTTCTGCCTTCATTCATCATCTACACTTAACCAAGCCTGTGAGTGTTGCCTCTTTCATTAGCTGTTAGCTTATTTATCACTTTTGATAATTATTCCTTGTAAGTTTCATCCATCACAATGTTTTGTTCTGTTTTGTTTTGTTTTTGCAGTACTGGGATTGAACTCAGGGCCTTGCACATGACAGGCAAGTGTTCTACATTGAGCTACACACCCAAACCTTGCTTGTTTTCTTGACCTCCATAACATAATCCAGTATTCTCAAATAAAACAGCAGGCTCCTGCAACATTAGACATGGAGTGGGGCCTTCGATTCTGCAATGTTTAATAAGCTCTTAAGTGGTACCCATATTGGCGGTCAACAGGTCCCTCTTTGGAGTTACAGCATGAAGCATCATTTTCTGACTTCTGAAGGGGACTGGCTATAAAATGTTTACTGTTCTGC